AGCCAGCAAACTCCAGCCCAAGTCCTGCTGTGCCCCCTCTCTGCTCTGTGGAGAGAGGATACAGAGTGGGAGGGGGCACCCTGACATCAGCACTCCCCCTCCCCTGCCCTGCACAGAAGGCAGGAGGCTCCCAGGGGGAGGGGCAGCTCTAAGGCAAAGGGCAGGAAGTACACAGCAGTGGGGGGAGGGACAGCTGAAGTGCTGGCACTTGACAGCCTCTTGGCCAAACCAGTCAGGATCCCCTGTCAGAGGCTCCAAGATCTACCAGTAGATCCCGATTTGTCAGTCTCTATGGCAGGCCTGGGAAAAATCTGGCCTGTGGGCTGGATCTGGCCCACCAAGCCACCAGATCCAGCCTGCAGATGCTGTGGGGAGCCACAGGCTCCCTGCTTGCTTTGTCCCTCCTGCACACCGCTCAGAAACATGGTGGTGGGGCGGCTTCCCTTTAAAAGTTTTTCCTAACGTCCAACCTAAACCTCCCTCGCTGCAGTTTAAGCCCATTGCTTCTTGTTCTATCCTCAGAGGCAAAGTAGAACCATTTTGCTCTCTCTACCTTAGAGCACCCTCTTAGGTACTTGAAAACCGCTATCATGTCCCCTCTCAGTCTTCTCTTTTCCAGACTAAACAAGCCCAGTTCTTTCAGTCTTCCCTCATAGCTCATGTTTTCTAGACCTTTAATCATTTTGGTTGCTTTTCTCTGGACGTTCTCCAATGTCGCCACATCTTTCTTGAAATGTGGTGCCCAGAACTGGACACAATACTCCAGCTGAGGCCTAATCAGTGCAGAGTAGAGCGGAAGAATGACGTCTGGGCTATGTCTAGACTGCAGTCTTCTTTCGAAAGAGGCTCTTTCGAAAGCATCTTTCGAAAGAGCCTCTTTCGAAAGAGAGCGTCTAGACTGCACGGAGAAATTTCGAAAAAGCGGCTTGCTTTTTCGAAAGAAAGCATCCAGTGAGTCTGGATGCTCTCTTTCGAAGACGCCCTATTTACATTGAAGAACGCCTTCTTTCGAAAGAGGAACTTTCGAAAGAAGGCGTTCTTCCTCGTAAATTGAGGTTTACCGCCATCGAAAGAAAAGCCGCGTTCTTTCGAATTAATTTCGAAAGAACGCAGCTTGAGTCTGGACGCAGGGGAAGTATTTTCGAAAAAAGGCTACTTTTTTCGAAAAAACCCCTGAGTCTGGACACAGCCCTGGTGTCTTGCTCACAAGACTCCTGTTCATACGGCTACTCACCTACAAGCATTGCATCACCACACTAGACGCCCGCTGTCTGAGAACTGTGATGCTCACCTCTCTTGCAGCTGCCACAGACACTATCCGAGATACCTTGTGCGACAGGTTTTAAAAGCTGTCAGAAGAGTGCTGACAACGTCCTTATCACAGCCCTGAGTACAAGTGCTCTCCTTGCAGGATACGCAAAGCGAGAGGCAGACGGACAGAAAGATTCCGTCAGAGTAACTTCTGAGACACTGCACTGGGCAGCTTACACTCTGTTCTGTTTTCACTTCACTGCGCTGCTCTTTGTCCTGGCTTAAATAAGCACCAGAAATGATTCTACTGGATGCTCCAGCGACTGTGTTTTAAAAGGAGGCATTGCCACATTAAGCAATAACGGGTTGCTTTATTGCTGCCCTGATGGGGCAGCATCTGTAATTATGATGTTGGTTACACATGGGGAGAGACATGTCATTCAGAATGAAAAAGCGACATGCTTGATAATATACAGGTTGAACCTCTCTAGCCCGCAGGGCTGGACTAAGGGGTGGGCAAGCTGGGCAGCTGCCCGGGGCGCCAACCGATGGGGGGCACCTGATGGCAGCTGTAAGGGGCACACGGCATCCCATCAGATGATGTCTGCAAGTTAGATGTCTGCAAGTCACCAGGTCTGATGAAATGCATTCTAGAATACTCAAGGAGCTGATAGAGGAGATATCTGAGCCTTTAGCCATCATCTTCAAAAAATCATGGAAGACAGGAGCGATTCCAGAAGACTAGAAAAGGACAAATATAGTTCCCATCTATAAAAAAGGAAATAAGAACAGCTCAGGAAACTACAGGCTAGTCAGTTTAACTTCTGTGCCAGGAAAGATAGTGGAGGAAGTAATTAAGGAATTAATCTGTATACACCTGGAAGATAATAAGGTGATAGGTAACAGCCAGAATAGATTTGTAAAGAACAAATCATGTCAAACCAATCTGATAACGAGTCCTGTGGATAAGGGAGAAGTGGTGGACATAGTATACCTACACTGTAGTAAGGCAGTTGATACGGTCTTGCATGATATCCTTATCAATAAACTAGGCAAATACAACTTAGATGGGGCTACTATAAGGTGGATGCAAAACTGGCTGGATAACCATTCGCAGAGAGTAGGTATTAATGGTTCACAATCATGCTGGAAGGGCATAACAAATGGGTTCTGCTGGGGTCTGTTTTGGGACCAATTCTGTTCAATATCTTCATCAACAATTTAGATATTGACATAGAGAGTATGCTTACAAAGTTTGCAGATGATATGAAGCTGGGAGGGGTTGCAGCTGCTTTAGAGGATAAGATCATACTGTAATTCAAAATGATCGAGGCAGGCCTGCACCCCAGAGATGGGCTCGTGCATGCGCTGTGCTCCCAGGGTGCCAAAATGGCTCAGGCTGGCCCTGCTAGCCAGGCACCCTGGGGACCTGACTGGTGCCGCACCAGAGAATTAGCTGAACCACAGAAGGCCAATATTCAGCATTACCAACACTTCCGCTGCTGACTGGGCTCTTAGAAGACATTTAGGGGTAAATTAGAGCTAAAGAACAGCACAGAACACTGAGCGCCAGAACTGGTGGCTGTAAACAAACTTTATGGGACCACAGGACTTGGCCACTCCCATGATAAGTGGACACCTGGCAGCCTCAAATTGTGATGGGCCACAGATGTTGCCAGATCAAAGAGCATCAGACTAGAAAAGTTCAACCTGTACTAATATTCTTCCTAGAGCAAGAAATATCTATTTCCACCTCAGCATGTCACTGAATTCTCCAAGACAGAAACATTTGTCATGATGATTTGGGCTCAGTCTAAGAGATGCCAGCAAGGGACATAATAAATGACAAGCTATCCAGCAACCCACTTTTTAAAGCATTAACATGAGGATGAATATAGGCAAAGAGCAGTGTTTGCCCAAATGATACATGTTCTGTTTGATTTGTCTTCTAGATCTAACCCATGACCTTGAGACAAAGGAACTGGAAATTCACCAGCAAGGTAAGCTCAAAAGCTTTTTCATGTGGTTTGGGATTTGACAGGTGAGCCCAAAGCTGCCATAGGGAGGAACACTTCAAGCATCTGTACCCTGCCCCACAGCAGGATTCAGCCCCAACCTACAGGGGCTGATGATAAGGGCTGGAGTGTAAAACACCAGCTTTGTGAGTATCAAGTGTTTCTCTGTAGCGGCTGGTCTACAGAGAGAACAAAGGATCCGTTACTGCTACCCACTAAGGGTGGAATTTTTCAATTCACTGCAGCTGCTGCCTGCAGTTGGGGGTGGGGGAGAGTGCAAGGAGGGCCACCCAGAGGAATTGGGAGGGGGCATGAGGGAGCACCCCTTGAAGCAATCAAATGTTTGGCAGGGGGGCAGTGCACCTCCTGGTTGCTGCCAGGAGTTGCCAATGTTGAAGCCTGTATTTTTAGAGCACGGGTGGGGAACTGATGGCCTGTGGTCCAAATCTGGCCCCCAGCTTTCTCGGCTCTGGCCTCCCACAAGACTGAGGGCTTCCCCCATAAGGCCGAGGGCTTCCCCCCATAGGGAGCAAGCCGGCACTCACGAGCCAGCCCCGCAGCAAGTCGCTGAGCTTCCGCTCCCCCATGGGGGCTGCATCATTAGGGCTGGCTCACCCTGCTGCTAGGAGAGGCCCCAAACCTCAGTGCCCCGCTGCCCTGCCACCAGGAGAAACTCCAAGCTTTGGTGTCCCCGTGGGACTAGAGCAATAGCACTGCTTGCCCATCGCAGGGTGGGAAAGCCCCAAGCTTGTTGGGAGGCAGATGAGTGAGGTTTGGTTTGTTGGGAGTCCGGTTGTGTTGATTTTTGGTTGGTTGGTTGGTTGGGTTATTTTCTCTTTGTTTGTTTGGGCTGTTTTGGTTTGATCTGTTTTGCTTATTGGGAGCCAGATCAGTAAGAGCAGTTGTTTGGTTTGGTTTGGGATTTTTTGCTTCTCACTTGTGTGCGACTCCTGATTGATTCTTCTGTGGGTCAGTGGTCCCTGGCAGAAAAAAAGGTTCCACACCCCCTTTTTAGAGCTATTGGCTCAGGGATGTAGATCCAAATCCTCAAAATGTTGCAGGTATGTATGATTTATCTAGTCATCTGTTCATTTGATTTCACTGCTGAGACAGCTAACTGCTTTTGGCTGGGGGGAGGTGATTTTGTAACAGGCACCTGCAGGCCACCAACCACTCATCGGACATCAGTAACTTTCAGTCCTGATTAGAACTGGTCAAAAAACCAGAAATTTGATTTTGCTAACCATTTCCAAATGTCAGGGTTGTTTCTATTTTTGTTCAAAACAGATCCATTTTTGAAACATTTTCAGTGAACATTTTAAGCTATTTTATACCCGTCCTCCTTGCAAAGGAATACTGGCAGAGCTCCCGTATCACACCCAACTGCTCAAATACCAAATCTTTTCCTGAAAATCACACTGATCACAAACGATTCTGATCAAAATATCAAAAAATGAAAAGTGTTTTGGAAAACCAGACAGTGTCAAGACCATTTTTTCAAATAGGTCCATTTGTTGACCAAAAAAAGCCCCAAATCCTGTTGTGTGAAAAATGTCAGCCAGCTCCAGTCATTAGCAACATTCCCTCTAATCTTTTCCATCCATGTGTGGAATAATTTTATGCACCGAGGCATATGTGAATGTGCACCACCAGGAGAAACAAAAAACGTGGCAGTGGGCACTCTGCTATTCAGACAGGTAACATTTGAATTTTTCCTGAGCAGTCACACAAGCACTGAGCTTACAAGAAACACTGGTTACTACCCACCACAGCTGAAGCTAAACTGCAAAGCAACCCAGAGAGGGTGTCATAGGCCACTCCCATTCCCTTAGGCCATCCTGTTCCCCTGAGGGTTGCAGTTTTATTGGCTCAGCATTCACACAATTACCATTCCAAACCGCGGCATGTGCAGCAAATCATTCAGGCAGGTGGAGTTGGAATGGCATTGTCCTTCACCCCAGGGTTCTGATAAGAACCTTTCCAGGTCTCCATTGGAAGGCAGACATTATCAAGGGCTTTGTGTCCAAGAGCAGCAAAGATGAGGAAGCCGAATAATAGAGGCTTACCTGACTAATGAAGCCACATGCCAGATTTACACTATAGCTGAAGGTCAGCTTAAGGTATGTAGTTCCAGCTATGTAAAAAACTTGTGAGGAGTAAGAGTTCCAGCATCAACAGGGGCGCCCTCGGTATTCGATTTAGCAGGTCTTTACTAGACCTGCTAAATTAAACACTGAAGATCCACCGCCGCAGCATCCGTCTTCTCTGTAGTCTAGACGTGGCCTTAGTGAGGAGGGCTCTGAGGTGTCTAAGGAGGGGTCTATGAGTCACAGTGTCTATGGATCAGAACAGGGATGATACACCTAAAGTAATTCTGTCACACGATTATTGCTAAAGGACATTTCAGTCTTAATAAACCCTCTTAAAATAGGAAGCGCTTTCCTGGGATCAGAATAGTAGACTGGGCCTTAGGAAGGTTTTCTGTTCCCAGTTTTAGGTCTACTAAGGTGCGTCTACACTGCACCCATAGCTCAAAATAGTTTGTTTCGAAATTTGGTGCTGTCTACACAGCACTTATTTCAAAACTAGCTGGAGTTACCCAGCGTTGCTCGGGAAACCAGAGGAACAAAATGTAGACGAACAGTAGTCCATTATCTTTTTTTGAATGGTAGAAAAGTTGCATTGTTTTCTATAGGGATTAAAATATAGGTCCGTGTCATCCCCAGGGACAGGGTGCAACCCCGGGTGGAGGGGAGGTTACACGCGGGAGGGGCACCCAAGCTCGCGCCCGGGGCTGCAGGTGCCGCAGGAGGCAGGGCGGGTGCCCGAGCCGGGTGGCCCCTGCAGTGCAGCAGGTTACTTTTTGATTTTTGCAGCTTGAGCTCGGGCCCGATTGGGTCCAAAAGTACCTTAAAACCTTTCCCTGAATGAAAGGTTATCCCACACCAAGTTTGGTTGTGGTAGCTCTTATAGTGTCCAAGTTATTAGCACACAATTCTCCTTTATATATTAGATAAATCACTATTCCGAAACGTTCCTGACTCCTCGTGGAGTGAGGTTTACAGGGACATCGAGCCCGTTATATTTTGAAAAAAATGGGCACTCTCAAAAGATGTGAAATAGCTATTTTGGGATACCTCCAGTATCCCGAAATAGCACTGCTATGTAGACATAGCCCTACTGACTGACTATGCTAGATGGGCCAAGTTGTGTGGGCGCAAATTCTCGAAAGAGCTCAGGGCCGGATTTTCAAGTGCCCAGTACTGAAGGCAGATTTTCATCTGAGATCATCTCCCACATGAGCAGCTAAGAGCCAGATATTCCAAAATGTCTAGCAGCCACCACTCAACCCCCCCCCCCCGATTTTCAAAAGACTTTGGCAGCACTATGGGTTCCATGCGTGCTGAGCTTTTTTGAAAATTCTAGCCTTAGAATTCCTCCTGGAATTCGATGCTCAACCTTCAACTGATTTCACTAGTCCAGGATTGAGCCCTTGATCTCTCTGTCAGTGTTTCCCAATTTTATTTGGCCACGGAACCCTTTTCAGCTTGAAAGAATTTCAAGGAACCCCTAGGATTGCCAGGGTAAAATCTGTCGACCAAAAAAAAAAGACCCGCTGCGCAATTTGTTCCGCGGAGCACCAATTGGGAAACGCTGCTCTACGGACATGTCTACACTAGGAAACTATTTCGAAATAACTAAAATCACTTTAATAACTCCCAAAATAACAAAATCGAACTAGCATGTCCTTACTACAGGGAAGCCTCAAAATTAGTCCGAAGCAGGCTTCATTAATGTGGATGCACTACCTTGACGTGGAGCCCCAGGAAGCCCTCTGGGGAGTAGTTAGTTTGAGTGACTCTGAGAAGTAGTTATTTTGAAATAGTGGCACCACACTACGGCTATTTCAAAATATTTTGAAATTATTCCTCGAGGAAAGCAGGAGTACCGATTTCAAAATAAACAGCCTGTGGACAGTTCAGGGTGCGATCACCCCCTCCCGGAAGGGGAGGGAGGCTCGGTGAACCCCTTCGCCCTTTTTTAACGGGGTCCCGTCTCGGGTCCCCGGTCGCAAGCCCCGTCAGTTGGGTGCGATCACCTCCTCCCAGCCAGGCCGGGGAGGGGGGGTCCCGTCTCTGCGGGGTGGGGCCTGCGCCCACAGTCTGGTCCTTCCCTGGACCTCTATCTGGGCTGGCCCTACTGTCCGGCCGTCACCCTTCCCTGTTTCCCGCGCGCGCTGCTGCTGACCGGCATTGAATATTCCTGGGGAATGGGGGAGGGGGACCCGGTCCCACCCTCTCTCCGGGTCCCAGCCTGGGGCCCTAAGCGCAGGGGCTCACTCACGCCCCAATGCGGTAGACGGGGGTAATTCCCTCCGTAACCCATCTACCCAGAGACGTCAAAAGGGCCCTGCCCCAGTCTCCTTCCTCCTTTCCCAGGGGCCTTCGAGCACCCGTACCGATCCCCGGAGCCTACCCAGGTTCCGGAGTCCAGGTCCAGCAGGCGCGGAGGCTGGGTCTGGCCCCGCTGTCCTTGTTTGCCTGCGCCGTGGCTGGGAGGAGGGGCTTGGTCCATGCCTCCGCTCCCCGCTGCCCAGCGGTCCAGGCTGTCACCCGTGCGGGTCGCTGGCGGCCCGTCACACAGCCCTTTATTTCAAAATAACAGGGTTGGTAGTGTGGACACTCCGCTTACTCATTTGACCTAAGGGCGGATATTTCAAAATAAAGCCCTAGTGGAGACCAGGGCTATAGGTCAGTGTACCCCCGAGTAAAATCCATATTTGCCTTCCTTGAGTGAATAGTGACAAAAAGCTATGGTAAACGTCTCTCCAGAAAGGCAGAGATGCTGAGAATTGGACCCAAGCTCTCTTGAAAGATGGGAGACCAAATCGTTTCTTCTGCCTGATTGCCAAGGGAATAATTTGTTTAGAACTGACTTGCCCATTCTAGAAATTTACTTTCTGATTTTGGGCAGTGGGAGGGTGGCCTGTCAAAAGATGCAGAGAAAATCTGGGAATGCGTGTGGCACAGAGGAGCAGCCAGGCACTGTAACGTGTTGGGTTTGATTAAATCTGTTGTCTTATGATCTGCAAGTAGCTCTTCATTCCTCTCCTCCTCTTGACATTGTTCTTTTGTGGTAGCCTTTTTATGCTGGCGCAGATGGAATGAATGCAGCTATTCTCCCACACACACAATGTTTCCACCTCCTTATCTACCCTCTCGGTGCCCTGGGATTGTGCACCACAATCTCTTCCAGGCTGATTGGGGTTGGAATAGGGGAGAGGTGGTAAGGAACTACAGGCTGTGGGTTGCCGGGCTGTATATGCCCTAGAAAGTCAGTCGGGTAGCTGTTGAGTGGTCTGTGCGAAATGAGATTGTTGGGTCTTGGTCCAATTCAGATCCACTACACACCACCACTCCGGTGATCCCAAGCTGGACCCCTTGCTGGGGGGGGTCAGCAAAGAGGCCAATGACTCTATGGGTCACAGAGACCATCACCAAACTCTCATCTCCACAGGTCTCCCCTGAGCACTCGGAACAGATCTCTTTCTTGGATTTTTCTGTCTGCCCTGCATAAAGCATCAGGCAGCCCTTTGTATTTCAGCATCAGGAAATACAAGACTGGAAGAGTGACAGGCAGGCAGACCAAGGGCATGTATGACAAACAGGCAGGCAGGCAGCCCAGACAGGCAAAAGCTAGATAAGATAAAAACAAGATAAGAAAGAAGGGCAGGCCTTATGCCCATTAGAAGCACACACAGATTCCTATCATTGCTGTATTTTAATACAGTATAAAGTTTGGCAAGGGTCTGGTTTCAGATATTTGCATTCCACTATAAGGGAAGACTTCCAATATAGATTTGTCCTTGTCTTTTTGTCCTCCTTTCCTCTCCCTTTCTGACTCCTGTCTCCATTCAGGCTACATCTACACTGCAGGCTTCTTGCGCAAGAAGCTTTTTGCGGAAGAGATCTTCCGCAAAAACGTCTTGCACAAGAGCACATCCGCGCTACAAAAGCGCATCGCAGAAGCAATGCGCTTTTGTACAAGAGAGCATCCAGACTGCATGGACGCTTTCTCGCAAGAAAGCTCTGATAGCCATTAACAGCATGGCTACCAGGGCACCTGTGCTTCTTTTGATAGGCTGTTTTTGTGCCAAAAAACCCTGTTACCCATCCATGCACACCTTTTTGCACAAGAGCTCTTGCACAAAAAGGCTTATTCCTTGTAGAAAGAGGAATACCTGTACTGCAAAAACCCCTCTGTTCTGCCGATTCACTGTACATTTTCTTGCACAAAAACAGGCTTGAGGTGTGGGCGCAGTGTAGACATAGCCTCAACCAGAGGGAATCTACTTAGGTCTCAGACACCATCAGCCCAGCAGGGGGCACCATGAGCGCAGTATAACTCCTTTTATCCCTGGGACCTTGAAACTGGAACATGTTAGATAAGCCTTGTCTTCACTTACCGGGAGATCAGCGCTATGGAGATGGGTCTCCCGGGGGCCAAGTTAGTGGGTCTAGCAAGGTAAGGAGTAAGGGGAGTCGATGAGAGCGTTTCGCCCGTCGACCCCCGCAGTGGGGATGCCGGGGTGCGTCCAATGAAGGTACGTCGGCTCCAGCTATGCTGTTGATGTAGCTGGAGTTGCGCATCTTAGTTTCACTTTGCCCCTAGTGCAGGGTTGGCAGGGACAGAGGGTATAATAGGCAGGGGAAGACTTTGCCTTCCTAAACCACCAGCCTGGCCCCACCCAGACTCCACTGTAGGCATACTGGGGATGGAGTGTTGCTGCCTCTGTGCCCTTCCTGTGCTCTGGGGCTGGAGAAGCTGAGGCCATGCGCCAGGCAGGGGAAGCTTGGCTCTCATGGGGGCGGAGCCTTGGTAAAAGGGGAGGAGCTAGGGGCTTGTGTCCCCCAGCCCTACCTTCACCCGCCACCCATGAGGCCTGACCTTAGAGATGTCTTGGCATGGGCTTTGGAGCCAGGCGCAAACTTTGTGCCTCCCCCATTCATGCCATGGCTGGCTCGGGTCATCTCCAGAGCCCTTCCCATCTCCAGAGCCAGGGGCGCTAAGTAACATGAACACGCCCCAAAGAAACCTGCCGTTCTCACTTCTCGGCGCT